TCCAAATATCATCCAATACAAATTTAAGTATATTCAAACACTCCCTGCTCTCGATGAAATGCTTGAACAATGATTTGCTGACGATCAATGCTACTCTGTGAGCTCCCTTTCTGCTGCAGTATTCCCTGGCAAAGGGCTTAGGCTTCCATAAGGTGAAGGAAATGGTTGCAGAGGTACTTGTGGATTTTTCTCTGGAAATTTGGTGTGTATTTTGTCTGTCCAAATGAGCATGCAAGTGCCCTATTTGTAGGTGAATAGAAAATTTGATCCTCCAGTGGTTTACTTCCACGTTTCGGATATGATCCAGCCCTTTGACAACTGTCCAGGATAGTTGTCCCATTCTAGAGAATTCCACAATTGTTAGTTGAGTCATTGGATTCTCCACAACATTGGGATGCTCCATAGCATTAGAATGTCACAGCATCATCATCATCTTCAATCGGATGTTACACAACATTTTTTACAATGCTACAGTGTCAATGTATATTTTCAGCATTAAAAATTCATTTTTAGCCAAAGCAACCCACAAAAGATAAATATGAAGAATCATAAAAACTAATTAAAATTAATCCTAAAATGTTCCTAAAAATGCTTAAGATCAAACTAAACTTAGGCTAAAAGTGCTCCTAAAAATAACTCTTTTAGAGAGTTATCACCCTGGGGCTTCATTTTTTAATTCTTCTGAATTTGATTCACTATTTTGATTTGGTTTTAATTTAGTTATTTAGTTTATTATTTTGTTTAATTCTAATTGCTTATTGAATTGTATTTTATTGCATTTGGTCCCTATTTTAATAATATTATTAGTAAAAACTCGATACGACCTTGTGATGACCTGCTATGGGGTATGACTCGCATTATTTACGGTCCGAGTAAATCTTTAACTGTTAATTAGTAACTTTCTAATCGCTGACCACTAATTACTAACTTTAAAAATATTCCAAATTAATTTATGACCTTGTGGTGACCTGCTCTGGGGTATGATCTGCATTATTATGGTCCAAATAAAATTTTAAAAATTAACTACCAACTCATTATTTTATTCGATTATTTATTTTTTATTTACATTTATTCCCTATAGTTTTCTGTTTTTTTCTTTAATTTCTACTTTTTACATTTCAGTATTTAATTTTAAGTTATTTACATTTCTGCCCATTAATTTTTAGCATTTTACATTTTTACCCTTTAGCTTCCAACAATTTTAATTTATGCATTTTACTTTCTATTTTATTTATTTTGGTCCTGAATGTCATTTATGATTTATATAATTTTAATGCTTATTCTTTTGATCATTTACATTTTAGTCCTCATTCTTTACCATGTTTATATTTATGCTCATTTAGTTCATGTACTTTATATATTTGTACCTTATTTTTTTATATAAAACTTATACATATTTTTCTATACTAAATATTATTTTAAATCATATTTATATACGTTATTTATTAAAATATAAGTTAATATTATTTTGTGTTAGGGACTTATGGGAACAGACATTAACTGATAACGATCATGTACTTGAGGGTTGTTCGTACAAAGTAGTATCCTTTTTTGTATAGGAAATTTATGGAAATGTACCCTAACTGACAAGGAAGGTGTTTCCAAAGATTGTTCGTGCAAAATTATACCCCTTTTAATTTTTTTAAAATGATCATAATTTAAATGTATATTTGAATTTGCAAGTTTCGACATAAAGATGGTGTATAATCGTATAAGTAGAGGTTTCAGGCGTTGTGGGTGTGTTAATCCTTTTCTAAGCATAATCTACTCTCGAACCCTTGAAAATGAATTTCTGATTAAAAGCAGACAATTTTTATCTTTTAACTTAATTTTTCTTAAAAATTTATTTTAAAAGTTATTTTTAGGTATTCGACCTACCTAACCAAAGTTCAATGGCAACTCCAAATAATTTGTTTTTAAAACTTGATCTTTTAAAATTAAGTTGGATCGATCCCCTCCTAGCCCTAGAAAGCTTAAGGATCGTTCCGATAAATGGAAATCGTTGGTTAAAAAAAGGTTAACGCTCCAAAAATAGGGGGTTTTTTTACCTTGAAATGAAACGTTGAAGGCCAAAATGCTTCAGGAAAAAAATATTTTAACCCCCTAACGTTTTATTTTAAGGCAAAAATACCGCTAATGTTTGACCGAATAGTCAATTTGACCCTTATTCTTATTTTTTAAAAATAGAACCAAAATAATCATTTTAAAAAAATGTTGAGGACTAATTTTGGCATTATACCAAAAGAAATACAAACGTTGAAATTTAAATTATATATTAATGTTATTGAAGGAACTCTCGATTAATATGTCGGTATCCCCATTAATCGATAAGATATTATCTTTCTGATATATTTGTACAGGTGTGATCTTGAGATTTTGATCATTTAAGCCTAAAAAAAGACAATATCGATCCCACCAAATATGTTTAAACTATAGTTATTCGGTTATGAAAGAATTTATTGTTGTAAACTGTGTTAGTAAGATTGGAGATGCATAAGATAAGTTTTACAATTAATCGAAAAATTAATTAATTTCTGTTATGATGATATTTGTGTAAAAACACTAACTTTTTTTCCTTCATTAAAATATTTTGCGCGGCACATACATTACATATGATTTTGAAAAATAAATACTAGTTATAAAACTTTTATAAAATTATTTATATTTTAAATTATTTACCCTCAAAGTTTTCTTAGACTATACTATACGTAAAATTATTTATATTTTAAATTACTTACCCTCAAAGTTTTCCTAGACTATACTATACGTATAAGATTTTGAAAGAGTCAAAAACGAATCAGAAAGTGTTAAGTGATAATTGGTAGACATAATTGTATTGTGTAATTTCATGCAAAAACTAAAATTTGTCGAGTTATAAAATAATTTGTAAAATCATATTTAAAGATTTTAATGAAGAAAAAAATTGGTGTTTTTACACAAATATCACCCTAATAGAAATTAATTACTTGTTAGGCATTATTTCAGAAAATTTTACGGATCTAGCAAGTAATTAATTTGTGATATTTGTGTAAAAACGTAACTTTTTTTCTGCATTAAATTCCTAAAGACGCCTTGATTTCCTACAAGGGAATTCACTCTAAAGACGCCGAGATTTCCAACTAATTTTCAAAGGTTAAGACGTCGAGATATCTTGGGATCTTTGGCATTGTACTGTAGAAAACACCCTATATGAGGAGTTAATCGGTTGAGTACATCTTTTTGGGAAATAAACTTTCCCATCCACATTATTTAGGCACTTTTGCCTATATATGTGAGAATTGAAACTAAGTTTTAAAAGTCAATATCTTGAAAGAATTGAATTTTTAAATATTGATTCGAATTTTAATTAGAATTAGTTGGATTCTGATTTATTAAATTAATATTTATATTTGACAATAAATTTTTGAAGAGTGGAATTCTTAGTAATCAAATAATAAGGTTGGTTTTGTTCTAAAAAATAGAGAATAATTTAATTTTCATTTTTAAAAAAAATAGAAAACGTTGAAGAAAACATGTTTGGTTGTAAAATTAGAAAATGACTGTTAGAAAATGAAAACAAAAATCAGTGAAAAATATGAAAACATAAAAAAATGTTTAATTATTTTAATTAAAATTATTTTGGAAATTTGAAAATTAGCAAACACGAGACCTAGATTTTTAACTTAACTTGCATGATTCAAATCATTTTAACAACAATTTTTGACTTAATGGTATCTAAAACCTTCAAACTTTTGCAAAAATCAATATGGTCCCTAAAAAGTTTTTACACTCAATTTGGTCCTTAAACTAAATTTTTTAAATAATTTATTTTTATATTTAATGTATTAAATATAATAATAATTATTTATATTTTATTTTAAAATTTTTAAAAAATATTTTTCTAAAAAATTTAATTAAGTCTTTAAATTTCTAAAAGAATCAATTAAACCTTCGAACTTAGCAAAAAAAACCAATTAAGCCAATGTACCACATTATCATCCATAATGTACTACCACAATAACATCATGAACTATCACATCAATATCGTATATTGCTATGTAAGCTTTGTGCACTTTCAAGTAAGCATCGAGACAATCATTGTTTGATTCCGTTTGTTAAAGGGTTATATTGATTTTTTCCTCAATTTTAGGGTCACATTAAGTGTAAAAAAATGTTTAAGGGCTACACTAATTTTTTTTCTCCAAAAGTTTAAGGGCCTTAAATACCCCTAAATATTTTTTTTTTATTTTAACATCACTTTTTTTGTGCTCTTGTTTATAACATATTTTTTGTGTATTTTTTTTAATTTAATTGATGTTAAATATGCATTAACATTAGATCATTATTATAAACTAAAATAATTTTTGTGTTAGAAAATTTTCTTATCAACTTTATTATTTTATATTTTCATAACTCATATATTAAATTTATGTATAATTATTTAATAATTATTTTTCATCTCTATTTAAAAAATAGATACAAATATATTTTAATTAATTTTATTTTTGAAATCAATTTTTCATTTATATTAAACATACATGTTTTCTAATTTTCAAAAATATAAAAATGAAAATTATTTTTTGAAAAGAAAAATAAAAAAAATATTTTTCTAGAACCAAACTATCCAAAAATTTTATATAAACAGAGTAGGCCTAAATCTTTTTAATTAGGAGAAAGATGAATTTTTTTTTATAGGAACTTAGTATGAGAGATGGTCTTACAGAAGTTTGAAAAGACATATCGACTTAAATCTAGAAAATGTTAGAAAGGGAATTAAAAGTCCTTGAGGAGGCTGAAATATTTTTTCTACAAGCAAAAAGCAAAAGTAGATTTGATTAAGGATGGTGACCAAAGAACCCGGTTCTTCCATTCTATGGTTACTAGTAAGAGGAAAAACAACACAATTAGAGTGTTATATAACCATAATGGTGATAGGCTTGATATTTTTGAAGACATGTCAAATGAGGTGATCAGATTCTTCAAGAACCAACTGGGGCATTAGTGTTAGAATCATCAAGTACATGCTTGGCTATTCCTTACCTAGGGGTGCAGCAGATACTTTATGTAAGGATGTCTTTGATGCTGAGATTAAAGAGGCCATATGGGGACAAGGGAATAACAAATCCTCGGGTCTAGATGGTTATAATTCTTACTTTTTCAAAAGAAATTGGCCTATAGTTGGGGAAGATTTTCTGGAAGCCATCATGTATTGTTTGGACAACTCATTTATGCTCTATTCTTTTAATGCAACAGTTGTTGTTCTTGTACCTAAAATTTCTAATCCGAACATGGTAAAGGATTTTAGACCCATTTCTTGTTGTTCTGTGATATATAAGACTGTTACTAGAATTTTAGTGGGTCGGCTATCCACTGTTTTTCCTGGTATGATCTCTATGAACCAGTCTGCTTTTGTGAAAGGGAGAAGCATAGTAGATAATACTATACGAGCTCAGGAAATTGTTAGGGGTTACGTAAGGAAAAAAATCTCCCCAAGATGTGCTCTTAAAATCGATTTACAAAAGGCTTTTGATTCTTTAAACTGGGAGTTTGTAGGTGTTATTTTGTATGCTGTGGGGCTACCTGAGAAGTTCATTAGCTGGATTTGGGCTTGTTTTACAAATCCTAGCTACTCTATTGTATTCAATGGCAGCCTTGTTGGTATTTTAGGGGTGCTCGTAGTAGAAGACAAGGTGATCCCCTATCATCATACATTTTTGTCCTTGCTATGAATGTATTGTCCAATCTTCTGAATGTGGCTGCTTCAAAGGGAGTTTTTAATTTTCATCCTAAATGCAAGAGGATAGGTCTCACCCACCTTTGCTTTGCGGATGACCTGCTTATTTTTTGCAAGGGTTCTATTGATTCTATCATTGGAGTGCAAGATGTGTTAGATGTTTTTTACTCCATGTCAGGGTTGAAGTTAAATACCATCAAGTATGAGATGTATTATGTTGGGATTTCTGTTGAGCAGAGTAATGTTATCAAGAAGATTACTGGTTTCAATATGGGAAACCTCCCGGTTAGATATATGAGAGTCCCATTGGTTACCATGAAGCTAGCTGTGAAGGAATGTCAATGCCTCATAGACAAATTAAGGGCAAAACTGAACTTATGGGCTAATAGACACCTTAGTTTTGCTGGAAGACTTAAACTCATTCGCTCTGTTTTATTCAGCATAGCAAACTACTGGTGTAGACAGCTTATTCTGCCACAAGCGATTATCAGTAAAGTTAAACAGTTGTGTTCTCGGTTTTTCTGGAAGGGGTCTGATTTGCCTGCTAAAGGTGCTAGAGTTAGCTGGAAGAAAATCTGTTTAATGAAATCTGAAGGAAGATTGGGGGTGCAAGATGTAAGAGGCTGGAATAAATCTTGCATTGTGCATCTAATCAGAAAATTGTTGGCTAACGAAGGCTCTCTCTGCGTGTAAAACCCGTAACCCGTATATTTATACCTATAAAGATTACGAATGTCAACGTATTTTCTAAAACCAATATCCAATTTATACATCGATTTAAAATTTATTTTCTTAAAATGGTAATTGATATTATAAAATAATCATATCATATAAATTATGTTTCATTTTAACAAATTTAAAACAAAAGATTTTTTATGAATAGTGATGAACAGTACCGTGAACAGTGATGAACAATACCCGTGAACAGTGAATGTACCGATGCACTACTACAATACGTGAACAGTGCATCGATGCATCAAAATATCGAATTAATATTATGCATCGATACGCTATAGTACTGCTATAGTACTATTACAGTGCATGCATCGATACGCTACAGTAACTGCTACAGTAATTTCTGCATTATACAAAACTCATAAAATTACCATTTTATTTCCAAATTTGTTCAAAAAAAGCAAATAAAACATTAATAATTACATGCCACTAATTAAGTCTACATTACATATAAAGATGTCTTACTGATATAGAAATATACTTTTTGATGCTTGACGCCTCTTTAAACTCCTTATTCCACTATTGGCTTTTTACCTACGCGTGAAAATCATCACACGCTAAGTATATACTTAGTAAGTCAATTATAACAATAAATAGTGCAATATCATTCATGCATGAATTTCAATTTCAAATAAAATGCCATAAAACCATGCTAATAGCATATCAAATATTTTACCATGATTAATATATCATAACTGAATATAAAAAAATATTCTTTCCAATATACTTGCCATTCTTTCCATAAACTTGTAAGTTTATTTTTATAACTTACCATTTATTAACTAATAAACCATAAACCGTAGACAATAGCCAAGTATAAAACCCCGAGGACCCTGGGTACACGAGTCAACTATAAGCACCGTAGTGCTATCCCGTATGACACATAAGGTCGTGTCCATCATCTGTACTAGGTATCCTTAAGTACAGTCACGTATGGCACATAAGGTCGTACCCACCATATATACTAGGTATCCTTTAGTGTATCCCGTATGCAGCCTGCTGTTGAACTCTATGGCATGCCAACTATACCGTGTCCCTCAATAACTTACTTGGGCATACAGTCTATTTTATTTGATCCATCCATGTCACAGTATATTATCAATATTTAACATTGGGCAGTTCATACCCGAATAACATTCATGGTAAAATATCACATTTTCTATAATCAATGCATTATAATTTCATACTCTGACATATCAATGTCATGTCAATTTATAAAAATATGATAAAATATCATGCTGATAAAACAATGTCGACTTATCGCAAGTTTTCCTGATGATGTATAAAACATCCATGTATAATTTCATGCATGTATTACACTCACCTTGACACTTTATATAATCCACAATATGATCCTCACTAATTGTCCACAATAATCCATTTTCTATTTAACTTGCTTTGATCACAAATCAATCACAATCTGTATTAAATCACAAATTCATATCAATTCTTATGTTAGTATTATACTAACATAAACACATCCCATAACAATTCCATAATATACTTGGAACTCATTTTCTACCAAGTATTTAAACACTTAATAATTTCTTTTAACATTTGCATCAACTTTTCCAATTTCATAAAATGGTCATTCACCATTTTATCACATACATTCATTTAAATTCCCAATCAACAATTTCCATCATAGTACATCAATTATACAATACTTATACAACAACCCCTCAATTTTCCAGAATTTATGAATTAATCTTCAACTCTTCAAAAATTACGAATTAGTCACCAAATTTTTGTAAAGCTTGTAGAATACTTGAATATGAATCTACAACATAAAAATCATCCAGATTTATCATCAATTTCATGAATCCTATCATGAACATAAACCCTTAGATTTGGGATCTTTGAAATTCAACAAGATTAGAAAGCAATATTGGTACCAAATGATAGCGTTTTTCGCTTAGATCACTTTCCTATCTCACGACATAACTCCAATTCCAAAGGAATTAGCTCAAAAATTGAAAATAAAATATTTTTCTTACCTTGAAAGCTTTCTCACGTCCATGGAGAAGAGAAGAACACTTTGGCATGATATGTTTGATTAATATCATGCTTATCAGCCTTTAAAAAGAATTATTTAAATCATTAACTTGGAAAATACAAAATTACCCTTAATAAAACTTTATAATCACCATTAAACCAAGATACCCATAATAAAACTTTATAATCACCATTAAACCAAGATACCCATCCTTATCATCTTCAAAATCAATTAAATATCAGCCTGTCATCTTTTAATAGTCAAAGATGAACAAATTAGTTTTCCACTTTACCCTTTTGCCCTTGAAATTTCCAAAATTTACAATTTAGTCACTTTAATCAAACAATTCAACTTAAACATGTAATTAAACATAAAATATTATTTTCCAACATTTTAAAAATGTGGAAATAATTTTTTTATTTCTTATTTTTGTGACCCATTTGTAATTTTTCCAAAATTACATTTTGATCCCATATTTTTTCAAAGTTTATACTTTGGTCACTAAACTTTACCAAATATATAATTTGATCACTAAATAGATCCATTTATGGAATAACATTCTTTTGAGAAAATTACCACTTAATTCCTTAAATTTTTCCCAAATTCCTACTTTGATGCGCTCTTATGTGGTCATTATCTAAATTCCTTAAACTTTCAAATTTTACATTTTGGTCATTATCTAAATTTTTGGGGTATTACACTGCGTAACTTGGATGCGCTCTTATGTGGTTAGGAACGTTGATTTTTAGTAGATGAATATCCCCATAAATGTCAGCTGGAGTTTCAAATGTCTTCTGAAAATTAGGCATGTTGTTACTCATCTTTTTGTCGGTTCGGCCTGTGATCTTAATGCGAGGCGTATTTGGGATGATTTGCGCATTACTGCTCCCAAGGTTTCTTGGCACCATTTAGTCTGGTTCCCTGGGCGTATTCCTAAGTATAACATCATTGTGTGGATAACTATACTAAACAGACTTCTTACTCGGGTAAGACTCTTGAAAATGGGTTTAACCATTGAAACTGATAAATGTCTATTATGTGGTATTGAGGTTGAGTATAGAGAACATTTATTCTTCGAATGTAGTTTTGCTAAAGAGTTATGGGGTTCCATTCTTGCTATATGTTGTATATTCCATGGAGTAAGTAGTTGGGATGGGGAATTGGCTTGGGCTACTTAGTGTTTTAAAGGAAAGTTTCTCATTGTGAGAGTACTTAAACTTGCTTGACCCGGTCATGTGTATGGTATTTGGAAGAAGAGAAATAGTAGGTTGTTTGGGTGTAGAGAAAGATCGATGGATGATGTGCTGAAAGATATTAAAGAAGATGTCCAGATCTGACTGGGAGATTGGACTTTTAGCAAAACTGACATGAGAAACATCGCCCTCTGTGTAAATTGGGGCATAACTTAAGCTGGATTTTGTTTCATTATTTTTTTCTCTATGTGTTGGCTGGTTAGCTTAAGTTGGCTCCTCAGCTTATGCTAATTTGGTGTTTTATTGAACTCTGTATTTTAGTAGCAGGTTTCCTGCTTCTTGGGTAATGAAATGGAATTATCCAAAAAAATCTAGAAAATGTAGAAACGAGATTTTTTTAATGCTTGAGTTTAATATTTTTAAGGTAAAGTACATAAATGGTCCTGTAACTATTAAGTCCCTTGACTATTAAAAGTTATAAAATGGCCCCTTGTAACATCCTGAAATCCGGGTCAGTGACTAAAATGAGAATTTTCAAAATTTGGTGATAAAAGTAGAATAGTTAAATAGTTCAATGACTTATTGGAAATATAGTTGAAGGTTGTTTAGTAATTATTGAATGAATTAAAGGGTAAAATGGTCAATTGATAAGTAAGATTTTTATTTTCCCTTATAAGATAAGGGAACCACGTGGAAAGGGAGAGATTTCTCCAGAGTTCTCTTCTTCTCTTTTTATTTTTCTTTCTTCTTCACGTGGAAGCCAAGAGCAAAGGTGAGTTTTGGTTAATTGATTTTTTGTTGAATTTTAAGTTTGGTTTTGATTATCAAGTGACTCTTAAGCTTAAGGGAAGCTTAATTTGTCATAAAACAATAACAGGAAAGGTATAGAAAGGATTAAAGGAAGGAATTGAATAAATGAAATCTTGGTAGAAAGACATTTATGGGATTTCCAGACCAAATTTGACTTGTCAAGGGTCTAATTAAGAAGTTAGAAACAATAGAATTAAATTTGGAACATGTTGAAAATTTAGTGTAATTCTTGAATTACATGTGGAGAATAGGATTTTGATGTTAAAGAGGGGATTAATGAATAGAAATGAGTTTGAATATGTGTATGTGAGTTAAGAATATAATGAAATATGAAGAGTTGAGCTAAAAAGGAAGCGAATTTCATGCTCTAACTGGAATTTTTGGGTTGTGTGCATCGATGCACATTCATTGTGTACCGATGCACTCTCAAATAAATGAACATCAAATGCAATGAGTGCATCGATGCATAGGGAGTGCATCGATACACCCCTTAAAATGGAAACGTCGAATGTAAATTGTGTATCGATGCATGGGGTAGTGCATCGATGCACATATTAAGCGATGCATCAATACACTGTGGAATGTACCGATGCACTTCAATGGGAAATGGAATAAATCTTTCTTTCAGTCTAAGAATTGATAGATTATAGTATATCAATTGGATACTGATAAGTATTAATACATGATTGTGTAGACATCGATCGAAAGCAAAGTTCGGATAGGTCGTCAGAGTAAGATACTGTAACACCCCAACCCGTACCCGATTCGAATACGAGTCCGAGATGTCACATTGACATTTTAAATCCTTTATTCTTGTAAAATATCAGAACATTTAAACTTATATTAAGAAAATACGACCATATATAGTTCACTTGTGCTTGTTATAAAATTTTGAGTTCAAAAATAAGTATTTGTGAACAGTAAAATACGGTATGAACAGTGAACAGTGATGAACAGTG